TCCTTAGTGAGGTAGGTCAGACAGGAGGACAGTAGAATATAATAGTCCTTAGTGAGGTAGGTCAGACAGGAGGACAGTAGAATTGTCCTTAGTGAGGTAGGTCAGACAGGAGGACAGTAGAATTGTCCTTAGTGAGGTAGGTTAGACAGGAGGACAGTAGAATTGTCCTTAGTGAGGTAGGTTAGACAGGAGGACAGTAGAATTGTCCTTAGTGAGGTAGGTCAGACAGGAGGACAGTAGAATAGAATAGTCATTAGTGAGGTAGGTCAGACAGGAGGACAGTAGAATATAATAGTCCTTAGTGAGGTAGGTCAGACAGGAGGACAGTAGAATATAATAGTCCTTAGTGAGGTAGGTCAGACAGGAGGACAGTAGAATATAATAGTCCTTAGTGAGGTAGGTCAGACAGGAGGACAGTAGAATAGAATAGTCCTTAGTGAGGTAGGTCAGACAGGAGACCAGAAGAGAGAAGAATAATGAAGTTCTGAATCTAGGTTTTGAGCTGGTAAATTGAGATAATCACTTTTAGAATATGGTCATATGATTATAATCCCTGGGAGATGAAAGAACAGTCCACATCTGAATCACTCCAAAACTGTATGGGGTTTTGACCAATAGATTAGGATTATGGTCAATAGACTATTATTTTTTATAAAACTATTAAGAGTGACTTTGTAAAGAAAGTGAGAATAAATGGATTAAGTGTGGATGACAGTTGTAGGCTAGACAGTCCTCTCTACATAACACTGGTAGCCAGACAGTCCTCTCTACATAACACTGGTAGCCAGACAGTCCTCTCTACATAACACTGGTAGCCAGACAGTCCTCTCTACATAACAGTGGTAGGCTGAACAGTCCTCTCTACATAACAGTGGTAGGCTGAACAGTCCTCTCTACATAACAGTGGTAGGCTAGACAGTCCTCTCTACATAACAGTGGTAGCCAGACAGTCCTCTCTACATAACACTGGTAGCCAGACAGTCCTCTCTCTACATAACAGTGGTAGGCTAGACAGTCCTCTCTACATAACAGTGGTAGCCAGACAGTCCTCTCTACATAACAGTGATGTTTTTAGAGGAAACAAGCAGGAAAACAGAGAGAATATGAGTGTAATATAACACTGACTGCAGCAAGGTGAGAAATCACACACCTTTTTTTCACTTTTAGACAAGAGTTTATTATCTTAAAAGATGAGTGATATAAATATAATCTCATTATATTACACAGTCTATGAAATATGAGCACTGAGCGATTCACACACACGCATGCAGGCACTCACACACGCTGTCAGAGTCACAACGTTAATTTCCACGCTTTGAAAATCAGTGGGTTCGTCATGTACAGAGAGAACAGGAGTGGTCTGATGACCTGATTTGTCCCTGAGTAGCAGATTGGAGCACATCAGCTTGTCTGTCAGTCAGTCCTCCACAACGATAGAGTGAGTGAATGGTACATTACTTAGAATGAGGACTTTTATCTGTGGCTGTGAATACAGATGGGGGACAGGAGATGAGGACGTTTATCTGTGGCTGTGAATACAGATGGAAGACAGGAGATGAGGACGTTTATCTGTGGTTGTGAATACAGATGGGGGGACAGGAGATGAGGGACGTTTATCTGTGGTCTGTGAATACAGATGGGGGACAGGAGATGAGGGACGTTTATATGTGGGCTGTGAATACAGATGGGGGACAGAGATGAGGACGTTATCTGTGGCTGTGATACAGATGGGGGACAGGAGATGAGGACGTTTATCTGTGGCTGTGAATACAGATGGGGGACAGGAGATGAGGACGTTTATCTGTGGCTGTGAATACAGATGGGGGACAGGAGATGAGGACGTTTATCTGTGGCTGTGAATACAGATGGAGGACAGGAGATGAGGACGTTTTATCTGTGGCTGTGAATCCAGATGGGGGGGTGTAAAATACAGATGGGAGACAGGAATGAGACGTTTATCTGTGGCTGTGAATTCAGATGGGGGACAGGATATGAGGACGTTATCTGTGGCTGTGAATACAGATGGGAGACAGGAGATGAGGACGTTTATCTGTGGCTGTGAATACAGATGGGGGACAGGAGATGAGGACGTTTATCTGTGGCTGTGAATACAGATGGGGGACAGGAGATGAGGACGTTTATCTGTGGCTGGAATACAGATGGGGACAGGAGATGAGGAGGGTTTATCTGTGGCTGTGAATACAGATGGGGGACAGGAGATGAGGACGTTTATCTGTGGCTGTGAATACAGATGGGGGACAGGAGATGAGGACGTTTATCTGTGGCTGTGAATACAGATGGGGACAGGAGATGGGGAAACGTTTATCTGTGGTGTGAATACAGATGGGGGACAGGAGATGAGGACTTTTATCTGTGGCTGTGAATACAGATGGGAGACAGGAGATGAGGAACTTTATCTGTGGCTGTTGAATACAGATGGGGGGACAGGAGATGAGGACGTTTATCTGTGGCTGTGAATACAGGATGGGGGGCACAGGAGATGAGGACGTTTATCTGTGGCTGTGAATACAGATGGGGGACAGGAGATGAGGACGTTATCTGTGGCTGTGAATACAGATGGGGGGACAGGAGATGAGGACGTTTATCTGTGGCTGTGAATACAGATGGGGGACAGGAGATGAGGGACGTTTATCTGTGGCTGTGAATACAGATGGGGGGACAGGAGATGAGGACGTGTTATCTGTGGCTGTGAATACAGATGGGGGACAGGAGATGAGGACGTTTATCTGTGCGTGAACACAGATGGGGGACAGGAGATGAGGACGTTTATCTGTGGCTGTGAATACAGATGGAGACAGGAGATGAGGACGTTTATCTGTGGGCTGTGAATACAGATGGGGGACAGGAAGATAGGACACGTTTTATCTGTGGCTGTGAATACAGATGGGAGACAGGAGATGAGGACGTTTATCTGTGGCTGTTGAATACAGTTGGAGGACAGGAGATGAGGACGTTTATCTGTGGCTTGTGAATACAGATGGAGGACAGGAGATGAGGACGTTTATTCTGTGGCTGTGAATACAGATGGAGGACAGGAGATGAGGATGTTTATCTGTGGCTGTGAATACAGATGGGGGACAGGGAGATGAGGACGTTTATCTGTGGCTGTGAATACAGATGGGGAGACAGGAGATGAGGACGTTTATCTGTGGCTGTGAATACAGATGGAGGACAGGAGATGAGGACGTTTTATCTGTGGCTGGAATACAGATGGGGGGACAGGAGATGAGGACGTTTATCTGTGGCTGTGAATACAGATGGGAGACAGGAGAGGAGGACGTTTATCTGTGGCTGTGAATACAGATGGGGACAGGAGATGAGGACGTTTATCTGTGGCTGTGAATACAGATGGGGGACAGGAGATTGAGGACGTTTATCTGTGGCTGTGAATCAGATGGGGGACAGGAGATGAGGACGTTTATCTGTGGCTGTGAATACAGATGGGGGACAGGAGATGAGGACGTTTATCTGTGGCTGTGAATACAGATGGGGGACAGGAGATGAGGACGTTTATCTGTGGCTGTGAATACAGATGGGGGACAGGAGATGAGGACGTTTATCTGTGGCTGTGAATACAGATGGGAGAGCAGAGTACCACTTGGTGTTCGGTACAGGCTGTGTCCCAAATGGCACCCTATTCCCTATGTAGTGTACTACTTTTGACTAGAGCCTGTAGCGCTCTGGTCAAATGTAGTGCACTGAATAGAGAATAGGGTGCCATTTGGGACACAGACAGTGTTTTGCTGCCTGCTCTAATAACTAACATAGCACAGGTTAATACATTAGATTAGAACAGTTTCTATAGTTCCCTCAGCTCTTCCTCGGCTGATATCAAATATCCCACATGAAAAAGGAGTGGGAGAAAAATCATATCCTTCAGGTAAATATTATCTGATCTGAAGACCAGTGGAGATTGAGATTCTGGGGTGATAATGATTATCTTCACTCGTACTGAACACCCCAGTCAAAACTGTTCGCTGCTCAGGCACCCCAATGGTGGAACAAGCTCCCTCACAACGCCAGGACAGCGGAGTCACTCACCACCTTCCGGAGACATTTGAAACCCCACCTCTTTAAGAAATACCTGGGATAGGATAAAGTAATCCTTCTACCCCCCCCCCAAAAAAAAAGAAAAAAAAAAGAAAAACATAGTAAAGTGGTTATCCCACTGGCTATAAGGTGAATGCACCTATTTGTAAGTCACTCTGGATAAGAGCGTCTGCTAAATGACGTAAATGTTACATTCGGAGTACTGAACACTCTAGGGTTACATTCGGAGTACTGAACACTCCAGGGTTACATTCGGAGTACTGAACACTCCAGGGTTACATATGGAGTACTGAACATTCCAGGGTTACATTCGGAGTACTGAACACTCCAGGGTTACATTCGGAGTACTGAACACTCCAGGGTTACATTCGGAGTACTGAACACTCCAGGGTTACATATGGAGTACTGAACATTCCAGGGTTACATATGGAGTACTGAACATTCCAGGGTTACATTCGGAGTACTGAACACTCCAGGGTTACATTCGGAGTACTGAACACTCCAGGGTTACATTCGGAGTACTGAACACTCCAGGGTTACATTCGGAGTACTGAACACTCCAGGGTTACATATGGAGTACTGAACACTCCAGGGTTACATATGGAGTACTGAACACTCCAGGGTTACATTCGGAGTACTGAACACTCCAGGGTTACATATGGAGTACTGAACACTCCAGGGTTACATATGGAGTACTGAACACTCCAGGGTTACATATGGAGTACTGAACACTCCAGGGTTACATATGGAGTACTGAACACTCCAGGGTTACATACAGAGTACTGAACACTCCAGGGTTACATTCGGAGTACTGAACACTCCAGGGTTACATATGGAGTACTGAACACTCCAGGGTTACATTCTGAGTACTGAACACTCCAGGGTAACATTCGGAGTTCAACAGGGCTTGGTCCTAGGCCCAATATTGTAGTTACAAAACACCAACAGGACAGGAGCACCACAATCATAATCAGAAGGATACAAGTTATACGCTTCTCATATTGATCACATTGATTAAGGGATATTGTTGTCAAGTTAGAATGGTGGAATTCCTTCTATTAAAATGAACAAATTATAGTTTCCTTTAGGCCATACATTTGGAACACCTCTGCTTCTGATTCTGACAATCAGACAATTCATCCCGTTGGAATTATTTCACCCTCCAGTCAATTGAAAAGGTTCCATGTTCCTATCGTAGCCAGCTAGCAACCTACCACTCAAACCATTCAATTTAAAGGACAAAGGAACGGAAGGGAGGGAGGGGATGGAGCTGTGGCAGTGGCCAGGGAGACTGAGGATACACTACTCACCACATCCCAAGTCTTCCAATACTAACTTTACTTAATGTTGTTCATTGTTCAATACCTGAAGGAGAGTATGTCTGATTAGAAAAATACGCCAACAATTCCAATAGGGTCCCATGCATTTTTACTGCTTGGACCCCTAATCAATAAAAATACATGTACTGTATGGGTAGTGGTAAAACGCATGAGATACAATATAGTATGTCGTCCATTGATATTAATAATTCTTTTTGGAACGTATCCAGCTGGCAGTCAAATGTACAGTTGAAGCTTTAGTCCTAGTGTAAACCTCCGTCTCTACCCACTGGCTAAATTCGTTGTGGGTTACTTTATATGACAATTACTGGAAGCTTTAGTCCTACTGTTACTGGGTCAGAATGAAAGTTATGAAAAAAAAGAAGGAAATCTGTTCTCTTTTAGATCCTCAAAGAAAATAACAATTAGGCAGCTGAAACAATGTCCCCCTGAATTAATACATTTATAGTATAACCCTTAGACAATCTCCACCTGAATTAATACATTTATAGTATAACCCTTAGACAATCTCCCCCTGAATTAATATATTTATAGTATAACCCTTAGACAATCTCCCCCTGAATTAATACATTTATAGTATAACCCTTAGACAATCTCCCCCTGAATTAATACATTTATAGTATAACCCTTAGACACCGGCGCTTATCATTACCACAACAACATTAGGAGGTAATTTGAGCGTTGGCAAGTACACTTAATGTGAAAGAAGATAAAGTTGCCAAGGGGTATAGCAGCCAGAAATGAACGAGACCCACAGAACTCTGCTCAAAAGCAGTGCACTATGTAGGGAATAGGGTTCCATGTGAGACGAAGCCAGAGAAGATGTCTTTTATTGCTCTCTCTGCAGTCCTTTGTGCTTTAGTTTCTGCGCCATTACTACATTATATTCTGTCTATAAGCTAAAAGACTCAATTATAGTCCTCTAGTCTATAGGCTAAAATACTTTAAGTAGACCTTAATTAATTCTGCTGGTGGGTGCGGTGTGTATGATAAAGCAGAACAGGGTGTGTGTATCTGTCCTTGTGTGTGTGTGTGTGTGTGTATGGTATGTATGATAAAGCATGCAGCAGCAACTCTGTTGTACAGCAGAGATAAACGGTTGGACCTTTGACCCTCAGGTGCCACACTGACCTAATGGTTGGACCTTTGACCCTCAAGTCCCACACTGACCTAATGGTTGAACCTTTGACCCTCAGGTCCCACACTGACCTAATGGTTGGACCTTTGACCCTCAGGTGCCACACTGACCTAATGGTTTGACCTTTGACCCTCAGGTGCCACACTGACCTAATGGTTGGACCTTTGACCCTCAGGTCCCACACGGACCTAATGGTTGGACCTTTGACCCCCAGGTGCCACACTGACCTAATGGTTGGACCTTTGAACCCTCAGGTGCCACACTGACCTAATGGGTTTGACCTTTGACCCCTCAGGTCCCACACTGACCTAATGGTTGGGACCCTTTGACCCTCAGGTCCCACACGGACCTATGTTGGACCTTTGACCCCCAGGTGCCACACTGACCTAATGGTTGGACCTTTGACCCTCAGGTCCCACACGGACCTAATGGTTGGACCTTTGACCCTCAGGTCCCACACTGACCTAATGGTTGGACCTTTGACCCTCAGGTCCCACACTGACCTAATGGTTGGACCTTTGACCCTCAGGTGCCACACTGACCTAATGGTTTGACCTTTGACCCTCAGGTGCCACACTGACCTATTGGTTGGACCTTTGACCCTCAGGTGCCACACTGACCTAATGGTTTGACCTTTGACCCTCAGGTGCCACACTGACCTAATGGTTGAACCTTTGACCCTCAGGTGCCACACTGACCTAATGGTTTGACCTTTGACCCTCAGGTGCCACACTGACCTAATGGTTGGACCTTTGACCCTGTACTATTTGAACACACATTGAGTAACAATGTTATTCATCAATGTGTGTTATTCATCATTGTGATGACAATCCACCTGATTGGCTGTTGAGAAATTTGTTCCAGGTGGCTGATGGGATACCTCGCTCTGACACACCAATCAGTGGGTCCGTTTAATCTACGCTGATGTTTAACACCTACGTGTGATGTGGTTGTCATCTGAATGTCTTTATGGTTGTCCTATATGTCTTTATTTTTACTTCTGCTCTTTTTTTCTCAACACTTTTTTTGTTGTTGTTTTATTCTTACTTTTTTTGTTTAAAATAAATGCACTGTTGGTTAAGGGCTGTAAGTAAGCATTTCACTGTAATGTCTGCACCTGTTGTATTCGGCGCATGTGACCAATAAAATTTGATTTGATTTGATTTGATTTGATTTGATTTGAAATGGGCATCACTGAACACAGGCAGAATGAATTGTGACTGAACAGACGTCCCAAATGGAACCCTGTTCCCTACATAGTGCACTACTTTTGACAAGGGCCCATGGGGTTGTAGTGCACTATATAGAGTATAGACTGCCAATTGGGTCGCAACCTATATCTATCCACCTAGCAGTGCCATGCAGGACAGATCTGCCCTCAGGCAGTGGCAGACTCACCGGGTGGTTGGACTACTGTCTAATAGTCTGCCTTTTATATTTCTCTAAAATGGCTGATTATGGGATTATCACATCGCAGCACAACTCTATCAGCCATAGAAAATACACTGCTAGAAGAAATGCTATTTTTACAACACTAAAGAAAGAAAAGGTTCAACAGGTTTAACAGCAGGCAGCAGTTAATTTAGAGGGACGTCCACTGAAAATCTTTGTGAAAATGTGTTCATATCTACCATTGAAAATGTGTCCATATCTACCATTGAAAATGTGTTCATATCTACCATTGAAAATGTGTTCAAGTCTACCACTGAACATGTGTTCATGCCTACCATTGAAAATGTGTTAATGTCTACCACTGAACATGTGTTCATATCTACCATTGAAAATGTGTTCATGCCTACCATTGAAAATGTGTTCATGCCTACCATTGAAAATGTGTTCATGCCTACCATTGAAGATGTGTTCATGTCTGCCATTGAAAATGTGTTCAAGTCTATTGACTTCATTTCCACTGACTATAGCATTACGTTTAACTAACTTATACAGATTTTCCTCAATACAGTCCTTCACTCCTTTCAGACAAAATGCCTCTATCAATTAGGCTTTTCCTTCTCTCCTTTCAGACAAAATGTCTCTATCAATAAGGCTTTTCCTTCACTCCTTTCAGACAAAATGCCTCTATCAATAAGTGTCTATCAAGTTCCAAACACTCAAACAAGTTATACATGTCTGATTGATAAGAGAGGTAATAGGATATTTAGTAAATATTTTTCATAATTCTTATTTTTCTTCAAACTGCATTGTTGGTTAAGGGCTTGTAAGTAAGCATTTCACGGTAAGGTAAAATAAAATTTGATTTGATTACACCCTGTCTCATACAGGTCCTATATGTCTGATTGATAAGAGAGGTTAATAGGTGAATCCTGTCTCATACAGTCCTGTATCATTCATAAGGAGGCAGGTCCCTGTATGTCATTCATAAGAGAGGCAATAGGATTACATCCTGTCTCATACAGGTCCTGTATGTCATTCATAAGAGAGGCAATAGGATTACATCCTGTCTCGTACAGATCCTGTATGTCATTCATAAGAGAGGCAATAGGATTACATCCTGTCTCGTACAGATCCTGTATGTCATTCATAAGAGAGACAATAGGATTACATCCTGTCTCGTACAGGTCCTGTAGTTATAATCAGAGACATGCAGGAATAGAGAGGTGGCTTGTGTCTCCAAAATATTAAAGTCACCTGCCGCAGAAAACATCCCTAAAACTCGACCTGCCACCCATGTACCAGCCACCGACTAAATAGGATGACACCTTGACTGGTACAGGTCTTGTATTTCTGAGTGACAGGGACATTCAGGAATAAAGAGACGGTCCGGGTCCCCGAAATACTATAGTCATATATCATAGTAACACCTGCCCGGCTATGCATGTGCCAACTAAACTAAAGCCACCCACCTGCCAACTAAACTAAAGCCACCCACCTGCCAACTAAACTAAAGCCACCCACCTGCCAGCTAAACTAAAGCCACCCACCTGCCAACTAAACTAAAGCCACCCACCTGCCAACTAAACTAAAGCCACCCACCTGCCAGCTAAACTAAAGCCACCCACCTGCCAGCTAAACTAAAGCCACCCACCTGACAACTAAACTAAAGCCACCCACCTGACAACTAAACTAAAGCCACCCACCTGCCAACTAAACTAAAGCCACCCACCTGACAACTAAACTAAAGCCACCCACCTGCCAACTAAACTAAAGCCACCCACCTGACAACTAAACTAAAGCCACCCACCTGCCAACTAAACTAAAGCCACCCACCTGCCAAGCTAAACTAAAGCCACCCACCTGACAACTAAACTAATGCCACCCACCTGCAACTAAACTAAAGCCACCCACCTGCCAACTAAACTAAAGCCACCCACCTGCCAACTAAACTAAAGCCACCCACCTGCCAACTAAACTAAAGCCACCCACCTGTCAACTAAACTAAAGCCACCCACCTGCCAATTATACTAAAGCCACCCACCTGCCAACTAAACTAAAGCCACCCACCTGCCAATTAAACTAATGCCACCCACCTGTCAACTAAACTAAAGCCACCCACCTGCCAACAAACTAAAGCCACCCCCTGCCAACAAACTAAAGCCACCCACCTGCCAACTAAACAAAGCCACCCACCTGCCAACTAAACTAAGCCACCAACCTGAAAACAAAACTAAAGCAACCCACTGCCAATAAACTAATGCCACTCACCTGTCAACTAAACAAAAGCCACCCACCTGCCAAACTAAACTAAAGCCACCCACCTCCCAAATTAAAAAATGCCACCCACCTGTAAACTAAACTAAAGCCCCCACCTGCCATTATACAAAAGCCACCCCACCTGCCAGCTAACTAAACCCAAACCCACCTGACAACTAAACTAAAGCCACCCACCTGCCAATTATACAAAACCCACCCACCTGCCAGCTAAACAATGCCACCCACCTGTCAACTAAACTAAAGCCACCCACCTGCCAACTAAACTAAAGACCCACCTGACAACAAAACTAAAGCCCCCCACCTGACAACTAAACTAAAGCCCCACTCCGCTAAACTAAAGCCACCCACCTGACAACAAAAACTAAAGCCACTCACCTGTCAACTAAACTAAAGCCACCCACCTGCCAACTAAACTAAAGCCACCCACCTGCCAATTAACTAAAGCCACCCCCCTGCCAACTAAACTAAAGCCACCCCCCTGCCACTAAACTAAAGCCACCCACCTGCCAATTAAACAAAGCCACCCACCTGCCAACTAAACTAAGCCACCCCCCTGTCAACTAAACTAAAGCCACCCACCTGCCAATTATACTAAAGCCACCCCACCTTGCCAGTAAAACTAAAGCCACCCACCTGACAACTAAACTAAAGCCACCCACCTGCCAATTAAACTAATGCCACACACCTGCCAACTAAACTAAAGCCACCCACCTGCCAACTATACTAAAGCCACCCACCTGCCAACTAAACTAAGCCACCCACCTGACAACTAAACTAAAGCCACCCACCTGCCAAATTAAACTAAAGCCACCCACCTGCCAACTAAACTAAAGCACCCACCTGCCAACTAAAACTAAAGCCACCCACCTGACCAACTAAAACTAAAGCCACCCACCTGCCACTATACTAAAGCCACCCACCTGCCAACTAAACTAAAGCCACCCACCTGACCAACTAAACTAAAGCCACCCACCTGCCAACTAACTAAAGCCACCCACCTGCCAGCTAAACTAATGCCACCCACCTGCCAACTAAACTAAAGCCACCACCTGCCAACTAAACTAAAGCCACCCACCTGACAACTAAACTAAAGCCCCCCCACCTGACAACTAAACTAAAGCCACCCACCTGCCAGCTAAACTAAAGCCACCCCCCTGACAACTAACTAAAGCCACTCACCTGTCAACTAAACTAAAGCCACCCACTGCCACTAAACTAAAGCCACCCCCCTTGCCAATTAAACTAAAGCCACCCACCTCCCAAACTAAACTAAAGCCACCCACCTGCCAATTAAACAAAACCCCACCCACCTGCCAACTAAACAAAAGCCACCCACCTGTCACTAAACTAAAGCCACCCACCTGCCATTATACTAAAGCACCCACCTGCCACTAACTAAAGCCACCCACCGACAACTAAACTAAAGCCCCCCACCTGCCAATTAAACTAATGCCACCCACCTGTAAACAAAACTAAAGCCACCCACCTGCCAACAAACAAAAGCCACCCACCTGCCAACTAACTAAACCACCCACCTGACAACTAAACTAAAGCCACCCCCCTGCCAATTAAACTAAACCCCACCCACCTCCAAACTAAACTAAAGCCAACCCACCTGACAACTAAACTAAAGCCACCACCTGCCAACTAAACTAAAGCCACCCACCCTGCCAACTAAACTAAAGCCACCCACCTGCCAACTAAACTAAAGCCACCCCCTTGCTTAAACTTTTAGTGTTACTTTGAAATACACACCAACGATTCTAGCCAAGTGATGGTATCCATAGTAACATGATGTAATCCAGAAAAAGGGATTTTTGGGGGGGGGGGATTGTCAGAGAAAAGTCCATTATGAACTGAGCTTTGATCCAATGTAGCTACTAAAAAGCCTTAGTCTGTAATCAACTCAGCTGGGAGCCTGGCACATATATTTCTACTGCAATTGCTTTGGGATGCAGGTGTGTTTGGGGTAAACAAAATATCTAGTCTACTTACATTTTACATTTTAGTCATTTAGCAGACGCTCTTATCCAGAGCGACTTACAGTTAGTAGGTGCATACATTATATATATATCTTTTTTCATACTGGCCCCTCGTGGGAAACGAACCCACAACCCTGGCGTTGCAAACGCCATGCTCTACCAACTGAGCTACATCCCTGCCGGCCATTCCCTCCCCTACCCTGGACGACGCTGGGCCAATTGTGCGCTGCCCCATGGGTCTCCCGGTCGGTCGCGGCTGGCTACGACAGAGCCTGGATACGAACCAGGATCTCTAGTGGCACAGCTAGCACTGCGATGCAGTGCCTTAGACCAAGACATGATGGGGTATTGTATGTAGGCCAGTGGCAAAACATCTCAATTTAATCGATTTTAAATTCAGGCTGTAACAAAACAAAATGTGGAAAAAGTGATGGCACTGTATTGTCCTCTCAATACCTCTACCAATTGCTTTGGGATGCAGGTGTGTTTGGGGTAAACAGAATATCCAGTCTACTCACTCATAGAAGGTGGTCCATCCGTTGCTGTTGCTCTTGGAGGCCAGTAATGCGGAGCTCCCGTGGTAGGTCATCATGGCCAGCTCCTGCCCCTGAGCAGCGATGGCCTTCAGGGCGTTGTTGGTCCCAATGGTGAACCAGAACGTCCGTCCATCAGGCGCCATCAACCACAGAGGCATCCCTGTTGTATCCCTCCTGATCAATCAATCAATCAATCAATCAAACTTCATGTACAGCGTATATAGCACATTTCTGACAACAAATGTAGTTCAAAGTGCTTAACAAATAAACTAATAAAAAGTGAGAAAGAAAAAAAACAATATGTTTTCTAGACAAATATAAAATTAAGATAATAATACAATTAAGACACCAATTAAAATAGTAAAAGACTTGTAAAATAAGAGTGGAATTGAGAGACTACTGCAGCATTAAATCAGATAAATAGGTAGATAAAGCAGGATACCTGATGGTCACTATGTTGTTGTTCTGATCCGTGATGCTGGCCAGGTCTCCCTCTCCGGAGTACGTCAGGTTATAGAGATGGTCCCCAGTGGTCAGACTCTGGGTGTAGATGTGACTACCGTTGGAGTCGAAGAGATAGAGTTCATCACTGATGGGGGAGGAGACTTCGTACATGCTGAGTGGGTTCAGGTAAGGCTTGTTCCGTCGGACGTAACGAATACGGATGTTGCCAAGGTCGGCGATGAAGAGTTCACCATCGGGGGAGACAGCCAATGAGGACGGGGCGTTGACTTTGGCATCTTTTGCATAGCCATCGTCGCCGGAGTAACAGTCACAGTTAGCGTCGTTCTTACAGTCGCAGCCGCTGGGCGCCCCAGCCACCAATGAGATCTCTCCATTGGTGGACACCTGAAATTTACAGGAAATGTTTACATGCAAGGAGAAGATGCTCGGTCTTGTCCGGACAGAGAATCTTACAGTGCATTCAACGATCATGACCATTGCAAGTAAAATAGTAAAACAGATAACAAAGGGTTATCTCCTGAGACTGGGTAATAAAGGGTTATCTCCTCTGACTGGGTAATAAAGCATTATCTCCTGAGACTGGGTAATACAGGGTTATCTCCTGAGGCTGGGTAATAAAGGGTTATCTCCTGAGACTGGGTAATAAAGAGTTATCTCCTGAGACTGGGTAATAAAGGGTTATCTCCTCTGACTGGGTAATACAGGGTTATCTCCTGAGGCTGGGTAATAAAGGGTTATCTCATGAGACTGGGTCCATCATCCCCATTTGTAAGTAAGTCCAGGTATGATGGACCCAGGTATGATGGACCCAGGTAAGTCCAGGTTTGTTTGATGGACCCAGGTAAGTCCAGGTATGGTGGACCCAGGTAAGTACAGCTATGATGGACCCAGGTAAGTCCAGGTATGATGGACCCAGGTATGATGGACCCAGGTAAGTCCAGGTATGATGGACCCAGTTAAGTACAGGTATGATGGACCCAGGTAAGTCCAGGTATGATGAGCCCAGGTAAGTACAGCTATGATGGACCCAGGTAAGTACAGGTATGATGGACCCAGGTAAGTATAGGTATGATGGACCCAGGTAAGTCCAGGTATGATGAGCCCAGGTAAGTCCAGGTATGATGGACCCAGATAAGTCCAGGTATGATAGACCCAGGTAAGTACAGGTATGATGGACCCAGGGAAGTCCAGGTATGATGGACCCAGGTATGATGGACCCAGGTAAGTCCAGGTATGAGTGACCCAGGTAAGTCCAGGTATGAGTGACCCAGGTAAGTACAGGTATGATGGACCCAGGTAAGTCCAGATACGATGGACCCAGGTAAGTCCAGATACGATTGACCCAGGTAAGTCCAGGTACGATGGACCCAGGTAAGTACAGGTACGATGGACCCAGGTAAGTACAGGTACGATGGACCCAGGTAAGTCCAGGTACGATGGACCCAGGTAAGTACAGGTATGATGGACCCAGGTAAGTCCAGGTATGATGGACCCAGGTAAGTCCAGGTATGATGGACCCAGGTAAGTCCAGGTATGATGGACCCAGGTAAGTCCAGGTATGAGTGACCCAGGTAAGTCCAGGTATGATGGACCCAGGTAAGTCCAGGTACGATGGACCCAGGTAAGTACAGGTATGATGGACCCAGGTAAGTCCAGGTATGATGGACCCAGGTAAGTCCAGGTATGATGGACCCAGGTAAGTCCAGGTATGAGTGACCCAGGTAAGTCCAAGTATGAGTGACCCAGGTAAGTACATGTATGATGGACCCAGGTAAGTCCAGGTATGATGGATCCAGGTAAGTCCAGGTATGATGGACCCAGGTAAGTCCAGGTACGATGGACCCAGGTAAGTACAGGTATGAGTGACCCAGGTAAGTCCAGGTATGAGTGACCCTGGTAAGTCCAGGTATGAGTGACCCAGGTAAGTCCAGGTATTACATTTACATTTTAGTCATTTAGCAGACGCTCTTATCCAGAGCGACTTACAGTTAGTGATTACATATTTTTTTTATACTGGCCCCCCGTGGGAAACGAACCCACAACCCTGGCGTTGCAAACGCCATGCTCTATCAACTGAGCTACATCCCTGCCGGCCATTCCCTCCCCTACCCTAGACGACGCTGGGCCAATTGTGCGCCGCCCATGAGGCTCCCGGTCGCGGCCGGCTGCGACAGAGCCTGGATACGAACCAGGATCTCTAGTGGCACAGTTAGCACTGCGATGCAGTGCCTTAGACCACTGCGCCACTCAGGAGGTATGATGAGCCCAGGTAAGTCCAGGTATGATCACCCAGAGAAGTCCATGTATGATCACCCAGGTAAGTCCAGGTATGAAGGACCCAGGTAAGTCCAGGTATTATGGACCCAGGTAAGTCCAGGTATGAGTAAGAAGTTGTTTCTGTCTCACCTGTCTCACACGGTTGATCTTCTTCTCGTCTGACTCAGAGATGTACAGGATGCCATTGTGAGAGACGGCGAGGGCGTTGGCCGACTCCAGGGTGGCGTGGACTGCCACCTTGCTGACCAGGAAGTGATCCAGGCCGGGCACCTGGCAGTGCATGGGCCTCCCCGCCACAATACGCACCTGGTGGTTACATTTGACATTTGAATGATTTAAATGTATCAGACGGTCTAACGCTCTCATCCACAGGGAATTACAATCAGTGCATTCAACTAAGGTCAATGTATTCAACTTAGGTAGGTAAAACAATCACATATCAAAATCATTTCAAGTAAAGTCTAGCGTAGTACCGTCTACTGTTAAACGTTTTGTTTCCTCACCTGATGGTTCTCAGAGATCTGCAGCACCACATTGTTATCCAGGACGTACAGAGAGTTATCCATGGGACTGACGGCCAGGTCTGTGGGCCACTCCAGACGCACCTACAGAGGAACAGACAGACAGCGGACAGGGAGTTATCCATGGGGACTGACGGTGTATGTTGAGAGGTCCAAAACAGACAGCGGCGAATATGATAAGAGGTCTGAGAGGTGAGTGGACCACTCCAGACGCACCTGAGTGGATACAGACAGAGACAGACAGACACCAAGCCATGTGAGGACCGGTGCTTTGGGTCCAAAACTGAAAGCATGTTTGCATCGATCTACACATTTTTCACATTCATCTGAGAGGGTAAAAAAAAGCCTGGGGGGCAACAAGAGTCGTTGAAAAGGATTTACAGGACTGTTAGATAGTGTTGAAAATATCCAGCTTTCTCATAACAGCTCCACAGGCCTGGGAGCTAAAACCATTTCATTTAGGGAGGAGATGACTATCGCCACCCCTCACAGTGGATGTCTCCCTCAGCTGTGGGTCATTAATTTAGTAATGGGAAAAAACAGCGGGAGGTAAAGTCCTTGAAGAGAAACCGGAGCACTACTTATCAAATGAAAGGCACTGCTCACCTCCAGCCTCCCAAATTATGACTTATTGTTATGAAAATAATAGCCACCCCAAACCCCACCCCCACATCTCTGAGGAGAGCAATATGAAGTGTTGTATTTCAATAGCAGGGCTGGAAGCAGCAACAAGGAAGACTGATTAAAATCTGGTCTTAATTTACTGGGAAACGCAAAGAGCAGTTCTCGATGCCGGTCAACTTATTATATGAGAGCTGGAGTTAGCAACTGGGAAATAGGACAACGCAGGATCAAATTACCTTGCATTACTACGCTTGAGTAATCTTTCATAGTGGGTCGGTTAATGCAAAGTTCACAAACCTCCCTCCTCAGAAATTGATTGGGGAGAAATCCCTAAAGTATCAACTAATATGTTAACATAGTGGTAAATTATGGTTCTGAACTTGGCTTTGTCAAACAGAAATCCATACTCAATTTAAGAGAATACTTTGAAGGGTATTTTATAGACTGTGTATAACTAAAAAGGAAAACACAGCAGATGAAAATACTGCAGAATCCAACACTGTGTGAGAGAGAGAGAGAGAGAGAGAGAGAGAGAGAGAGAGAGAGAGAGAGAGAGAGAGAGAGAGAGAGAGAGTAGGAGAGAGAGAGAGAGCGAGAGAGAGAGAGAGAGAGGGAGAGAGAGACAGAGAGAGTAGGAGAGAGAGAGAGAGAGAGAGATAGAGAGAGAGAGAGAGAGTATATCACGGTGACAGTCTACAGAGGAAGATACAGGGTTTTGATTTGGTCACAGAGTGGGTTCAACCTTCAACTGACAATAGTTAAACAATACATCAGCAAAAAATGTAATAAAAACTTCAAATCGCTGACTTGTGGATTAAAACGGCCCGGGGGAAATAGTTTCTAACTGATAAATGTGAAATAAGCTCAGGAAGCCACATTAAATTCCACTTCACGAGCTGATCCCAACAGCTCTGCCTGCCTGCATTCTACAAGCCTCCAGCCTCCAATAAAAACAGAGCTAGCTAGGCCTCCCCCAACCCAATCACCTTCCACCCATCCCAACCCCAACATAAATAGCTAGGCCTTCCCCCCATCCCAACCCCAACATAAACAGCTAGGCCTTCCACCCATCCCAACATAAATAGCTAGGCCTTCCCCCCATCCCAACCCCAACATAAACAGCAAGGCCTTCCACCCATCCCAACATAAATAGCTAGGCCTTCCCCCCATCCCAACCCCAACATAAAAAGCTAGGCCTTCCCCCAACCCCAACATAAATAGCAAGGCATTGTCCCCCAACCCCAACATAAATAGCTAGGCCTCCCCCCAACCCCAACATAAATAGCTAGACCTTCCCCCAACCCCAACATAAATAGCTAGGCCTCCCCCCATCCCAACCCCAACATAAATAGCTAGGCCTTCCCCCCAACCCCGACCTAAATAGTTAGGCCTTCCCCCCAACATAAATAGCTAGACCTTCCCCCCAACCCCAACCTAAATAGTTAAGCCTTCGCCCCAACCCCAACATATATAGCTAGACCTTCCCCCCAACCCAACCCAAACATATATAGCTAGACCTTCCCCCCAACCCAACCCCAACATATATAGCTAGACCTTCCCCCCAACCCAACCCCAACATATATAGCTAGACCATCCCCCCAACCCAACCCCAACATATATAGCTAGACCTTCCCCCCAACCCAACCCCAACATATATAGCTAGACCTTCCCCCAACCCAACCCCAACATAAATAGCTAGGCCTTCCCCCCAACACCAACATAAATAGCTAGGCCTTCCCCCCAACTCCAACATAAATAGCTAGACCTTCCCCCAACCCCAACATAAATAGCTACACCTTACCCCAAACCCAACATAAATAGCTAGGCCTTCCCCCAACCCCAACATAAATAGCTAGACCTTCCCCCCAACCCAACCCCAACATAAATAGCTAGACCTTCCCCCCAACCCAACCCCAACATAAATAGCTAAGCCTTCCCCCATCCCAACCCCAACATAAATAGCTAGACCTTCCCCCAACCCCAACAAAAACAGCTAGGCCTTGCCCCAACCCCAACATATATAGCTAGACCTTCCCCCAACCCAACCCCAACATAAATAGCTAGGCCTTCCCCCCAACACCAACATAAATAGCTAGGCCTTCCCCCCAACTCCAACATAAATAGCTAGACCTTCCCCCAACCCCAACATAAACAGCTGGGCCTTCCCCCCATCCCAACCCCAACAAAAATAGCTAGGCCTTGCCCCAACCCCAACATATATAGCTAGACCTTCCCCCAACCCAACCCCAACATAAATAGCTAGGCCTTCCCCCCAACACCAACATAAATAGCTAGGCCTTCCCCCCAACTCCAACATAAATAGCTAGACCTTCCCCCAACCCCAACATAAACAGCTGGGCCTTCCCCCCATCCCAACCCCAACAAAAATAGCTAGGCCTTCCCCCAACCCCAACATAAATAGCTAGTGTCACGCTCGTTGACTGAAGACACGGACCAAGTCGCAGCGTGATAAGCGTACATACTTTTATTTAACGTACTTAACGACAAAAATAACAAACAAACGATACGTGAAGTCCTGAGGTTATAACACAACAAACCTTTACGGATCAAGATCCCACCAACTAACTGGTGCCAACAGGCTGCCTAAGTATGGTCCCCAATCAGAGACAACGAGCTACAGCTGTCTCTGATTGGGAACCACCCTGGCCAACATAGATCAACACGATCTAGAACAAAAACATAGAAAACTAAACAATGAAAATCCACACCCTGGCTCAACATTTAAGAGTCCCCAGAGCCAGGGCGTGACAGTACCCCCCCCTAAAGGCGCGGACTGCGACCGCGCCAACCAAACACAAGAGGGTAGGGCCCGGGTGGGCATTCCGCCTCTGAGGCGGATCCGGCTCCGGGCATGACCACCACCTTTTCTCCACCTCCCCGTTGCGCCCCTGGTCTGGTCTGGCCCCGCTGACTGGAGCTGGACCCGACGACGGTGGACCAAACCTTACCGGCTCCGGACTGGAGCCGCAGGCCGGAGTTGGACTGGACACCGGTGGAGCGGATTGATCTGACTCCGGAGTGGAGCAGCTGAGGAGCTGAGGAGGTGCCTGGTCCGGCACCGGTGGAACAGGCACGGGCCGTGCCGGACTGGACACACGCACCACTGGCTTGGTGCAGGGAGCAGGAACGGGCCGGACCGGGCTGACGACGCGCACCACTGGCTTGGTGCGGGGAGCAGGAACGGACCGGGCTGACGACGCGCACCACTAGCTTGGTGCAGGGAGCAGGAACAGGCCGGACCGGGCTGACGACGCGCACCACTGGCTTGGTGCGGGGAGCAGGAACAGGCCGGACCGGGCTGGCGACGCGCACCACTGGCTTGGTGCGAGGGACAGGAACAGGCCGGACCGGGCTGGCGACGCACACCACTGGCTTGGTGCGAGGGACAGGCACAGGCCGGACCGGGCTGGCGACGCGCACCACTGGCTTGGTGCGAGGGACAGGCACAGGCCGGTCCGGGCTGGCGACGCGCACCACTGGCTTGGTGCGAGGGACAGGAACAGGCCGGACCGGACTGGCGACGCGCACCACTGGCTTGGTGCAAGGAACAGGAACAGGCCGGACCGGGCTGGCGACGCGCACCACTGTCTTGGTGCGGGGAGCAGGAACAGGCCGGGCTGGACTGGGAACACGCACCATTGGCTTGGTGCGGGGAGCCGGAACGGGCCGGGCCGGACTGTGGAGGCGGACTGGAGGTCTGGAGCGGAGAGCTGACACAGCCCGTCCTGGCAGAATGCCTATTTCCACACAATATGTGTGAGGCATCAGCACAGGATGTACAGGGCTGTGCACTCGTACTGGCGCTACAGCACGTGGCACTGGCGCAGGATATACGGGACCGAGGAGGGGTACTGGAGGCCACGAGCGTTGAGCCGGCACACCCCGTCCTGGCTGCATGCCCACCTTAGCACGACACGTGCGTGGTGCTAGCACAGGACATACAGGACTGTGCCGGAACACTCGCGGCACAGTACGTGGCTCCGCCAACCACCCTTTTAGCCCCCCCAAAAAAAAATATTGGGGCTGTCTCTCGGGCTTCCTCCCCGGCCGGTACCCTCTGCGTTGCCGCTGCCTCCACAGTCTCCTCTCCTGCCTGGGCATTCACCTTTGCCCATGGCCCTTTCCCCGCGAATATCTCCTCCCAAGACCACCATTTGCCCACCTGCGACATCGCCATCTTCTCCTCCTGGGCACGCTGCTTGGTCCTCTTATGGTGGGATCTTCTGTCACTCTCGTTGACTGAAGACACGGACCAAGGCGCAGCGTGATAAGCGTACATACTGTTATTTAACGTACTTAACGACAAAAATAACAAACAAACGATACGTGAAGTCCTGAGGTTATAACACAACAAACCTTTACGGATCAAGATCCCACCAACTAACTGGTGCCAACAGTCTGCCTAAGTATGGTCCCCAATCAGAGACAACAAGCTACAGCTGTCTCTGATTGGGAACCACCCTGGCCAACATAGATCAACACGATCTAGAACTAAAACATAGAAAACTAAACAATGAAAATCCACACCCTTAACATTTAAGAGTCCCCAGAGCCAGGGCGTGACAGCTAGACCTTCCCCCAACCTCAACATAAATAGCTAGACCTTCCCCCAACCCCAACATAAATAGCTAGACATTCCCCCAACCCCAACATAAATGGCTAGACCTTCCCCCAACCCCAACATAAACAGCTAGACCTTCCCCCAACCCCAACATAAACAGCTAGACATTCCCCCAACCCCAACATAAATAGCTAGACCTTCCCCCAACCCCAACATAAACAGCTAGACCTTCCCCCAACCCCAACATAAACAGCCAGACCTTCCCCCAACCCCAACATAAATAGCTAGGCCTTCCCCCCCAACCCCAACATAAATAGCTAGAACTTCCCCCCAACCCCAACATAAATAGCTAGATCTTCCCCCAACCCCAACATAAACAGCTAGATCTTCCCCCAACCCCAACATAAATAGCTAGGCCTTCCCCAACCCCAACATAAATAGCTAGAACTTCCCCCCAACCCCAACATATATAGCTAGGCCTTCCCCCAACCCCAAAATAAATAACTAGACCTTCCCCCAACCCAACCCCAACATAAATAGCTAGACCTTCCCCCAACCCAGCCCCAACATATATAGCTAGAACTTCCCTCCAACCCAACATAAATAGCAAGGCCTTGTCCCCCAACCCCAACATAAATAGCAAGGCCTTCCCCCAGCACAACCCCAACATATATAGCTAGGCCTTCCCCCAACCCCAACATATATAGCTAGACCTTCCCTCCAACCCAACATAAATAGCAAGGCCTTGTCCCCCAACCCCAACATAAATAGCAAGACCTTCCCCCAGCACAACCCCAACATATATAGCTAGGCCCTCCCCCAACCACAACATAAATAGCTAGACCTTCCCTCCAACCCAACATAAATAGCAAGGCCTTGTCCCCCAACCCCAACATAAATAGCAAGGCCTTCCCCCAGCACAACCCCAACATAAATAGCTAGGCCTTCCCCCAACCCCAACATAAATAGCTAGACCTTCCCCCAGCACAACCCCAACATATATAGCTAGGCCTTCCCCCAACCCCAACATAAATAGCTAGACCTTCCCCCAGCACAACCCCAACATAAATAGCTAGGCCCTCCCCCAAACCCAACATAAATAGCAAGGCCTTCCCTCCAACCCAACATAAATAGCAAGGCCTTGTCCCCCAACCCCAACATAAATAGCAAGGCCTTGTCCCCCAACCCCAACATAAATAGCAAGGCCTTGTCCCCCAACCCCAACATAAATAGCAAGGCCTTGTCCCCCAACCCCAACATAAATAGCAAGGCCTTGTCCCCCAACCCAAACATAAATAGCAAGGCATTGTCCCCCAACCCCAACATAAATAGCAAGGCCTTGT